CATCCTCTGTAACGTTGACCAGATCAAATGAACAGAGACTGCACACCCAGGCACTATACTGTAGCGTCATTATTGAAGCTGACTGATCAAAGTAAGCTCCTGTCCTGTTGGCAGAATCAGAATGGACCAAAGCAGAAAAGGCAAATCAACAACAGAAAATGTTACATTGCCATAAAGAAATGGCTGTATTCATTCATTCACACCAGAGAGTAAAAATTATAAATATACATGATAGTCCGAAGGAATAATACAATTCCTCCACTTTCTAGGTCACATGGACACCAACAGGAGACATGGTATTGTTGATTGAACCAGTCTCTCTGCACTGAGGGATTTAAAGTATATAAATAGTGGTTAAGACTTATTTCTAAAAAAACTAGGAAAAACTCCAAAAGGGAAACAGCTGAAAATGGTCAGTTTGTTGCTGTGCTCACAGCAATCGGGCTTACCTCACACACAATGGTTCTGCATTTTGTGATTCAGTGCTTTGAATAATGCACTTAATAGGATTTCCTTGGACACACTGCAGTTCAATTCAGCTTTCCTGCCGACCCACATGGAGGAGTTTAGCTGAAACGGCTCTGCTGTATTGAAGCAAGGTAAACACCTTCTACCTTTAGGTTGGCATGCTAACCACACTGTGCCATGGGAAACAGTGGTTGGCTGAACAGCCTTCTCATAAGCAGTGCAGCGGGAGCTGAGGAAGATCCCACTACATGCTGTGGCTTTCTGGCACCGTCTCCTGACAAGGTGCTCAGACGATATGGCAGGTTTAGTGGACCACTTTGGGCCCAAATCTACCTTTTGAGATGGAAAGTTACTCTAATTTACACTGAAATTGAAGATAACCTGGTGCCAAGCCTGTGTGCAATATGAAAGGGAGAAGACTGGTACATGGTCCTGGTTTCCTTTGAAGAAATGTGTGAATATATGTAATAGAGATCCTATTTATTAGTAATTTGAAGAGACAACTATCACTCCCTGCAACATGACAGAATCCAGCTATTGGTTAAATCATCATAATGTCTGCAGGCTAAAACATTGGAACTACTACAGTAGTTCAAAGCATCCCAATGAAATTGGCCACACTGTTGGTATCCACATGCAGCGGGGTGTTAATTAACCATATACCATACTATTTTACAAGGTACAAAGTCAATACGTTATGCTATTCACAACATTCAGTGGCAGAAGAAAAATTCTGAATGGTATGTCTCCACCACCTCTCTCCTGGTCACCAGGTTTATTGTTTATCATTTAATTCATGTAGAGACACAATTCAGCATTTCCCTCTAGTTTCGGTGCAAACAGCAGATTGCTAACAATCGACATATAAAAGAACTGGTTTCTATCATCTCTAGTAGCAAGGATTATGGTACACTATGTCGCACTAGGAGATGTACATGTACATGAGATGTCGTTGAAAACCACTAAACAACAAAAGATTACAGTTTTGTAATCCACCTCTACTTGCAGCATGAACCACTCTGTGCACATCAAGCAGCTGTCTGACACAATAGGTGTCTGGAGCTCTTTTTTCCTCTTTAGCAGTAACACACACGCTGATAGAGTGGTGCAAGTTGGTCTTCTTTTCATGCTTCATTTTGGATAAATCATGTGTTTTTTGTGAGAGTGGAGCATCAAGCCCCCCAAAAACCACGAGCAACATTATCACGTACATTAATCCTGGTCTCCGTTGAGTGAACGTGGTTGATTAGACATCACTCTCTGTCAAATTTACATCTCTTTTGACAGACGGAATCACCTCAAGACTGAAGGATTCGCTGCCCTCTATTACAGCCATAGAGGTGAACACTGATTTACTTCAGTTTAAACCATCCTATTATTTTAAAAACATAATTGATAGGCATGAAATGAAGATTTTAAAGATTTTAAAAAGAAAATATTACTATCTTGGTAGTTTGGCTTTCTTGAAGATATTGTACTTTCCTGATTCTTGTACCTTCTCGGTTAAATACTTTAAAAAACTTTTATCGTAAGTCACTTTGGATAAAAGCGTCAGCTAAGTGATGTAACAAACATAACAGCACTGAAAACTATTTTTTTTTAATTATATGCACAAAGCCTTGCCTCTGTTGCCACTATACCACTAAACAGAAAGAAAAACTATTTATTACAGGGCGGTTGTGTTGCTGAAGCTGGAGCCAACCCATGAGGTTCACATCCCTATCTAAATAGTGATGGTATCTTGATGTATAATATAGCAAACAAATGGGGCGCAGACTGATGGAATCCATTATGAAGAAAGGTATAATGTTACAAAGTAGAAAACACATCCAATCGTGAGTACTCAATCAGCCACAGTCATTGTATTTAGAATCCAACGACAACTCAAAAGCACCTAGTCATTCTCACCCAGACCAGCAAGTCCGCTACGGAATTATAGCGAATTAGCATATTAGAGTAGCCGATGTTAATGTTTTTTTATTGGCCTGCCGTTATACACATACATTGTGTCCATTGTGTCTTCAGAAAAACTGAAGAGAAATGATCGGCAGTACATGGCAGAATTTCATTACAGCTGTAACTGGATCCGTTTTATGGCATGACTCATGGATTTAACCAATTTGGCCGTGTAGCCATCGGTCATAATTGGCAGTTGTGTCTGCAATTGCGCTGGGCGGAGTGATTTCCTCTGTGACTGATTACTCTGGCGGGAAGAAACTTTCATGTGGGAATAGAGATTTCTACTCCAATTCAGAAGCGCAGGGATGTTCAGCCCTGTGTCTCTTTCCATTCATTCAAATTCACAGTGTGCTTCCCTGAATCTCCATAAAACTCTTTAGTCCTCTCAGTGTAGTGTGGCTTCAATAGCGAATGCACACCAATGTATAGGTGGTGCCCATCAACACTGGATTACTGTGATTGATGAAGAAATAAAACACTGATCATTTATTTCGCACTTCCTAAGAAGCATGGCCTTTGCCAGATCGTTTCCTGGCCCCGGCGCCTTGCTAAAAACAACGTGAAATGGGCCGTGGAGAAGGGCCTGGCCAATGTTAATGACCGATTCCCTTCCTCCCCAACATTCGAGCTACGCTCAGCAACAAATAACCCATTGGAGAGGCTCAAATATTTAAAAGATATATTTCGCAAGCATTCGTGTGGCGGTTAAATTGACAGTAAAGTTCTGTCAGCAATGTTAGTTGAAGCTGACAGAGAACAGAGTCATTGCTCTCAGATGTGTGTCATCAGTTTGTCATTGATGAGGAATATAAATGTTAGGTTTGAACATCTTCTGAACACACTGAGAATATAAATGTGACAATGACACATAGTGGAAGATATGCAGTAATACTACACTCAATTTTGAGCACGTTCATTCATCTCATGGTGAGACTGCAATTAAAACAGAGGGAATGGTCACGTTTCTTCATCGTATGTATATATAAATATATAAAATAATATTTTACCGGTTTTATGGATCATATTTCAGGGAACAAAAATGAATGTAGACGGTATGATACATTTCAGTCCGTGCCAAAGTAGTGGACCAACCAACCGATAATGTAAATCCTAAAGCTGTGACAATACCGCCAGATTATATAGCAACAATATATATGCATATACTGAAAAAGATTCTTCTGTAAACACTGTTGGGCCTTACCATTAGTAAACATTATACAGTTTCAAACAGTTAGTCAGGACTCGGTTTTATATGGTACATATAAACACTCACCTCAGTAAAGAATCACAGACAGTCAAATACACCGAGCCCATCGTAAACTAAAGCACATAAAACCAGACTCCGTTGTTGTAACCAGTACTTCGAGCTGTATTTACAACAGATGTGGACTAGAAAGCTCCTTCTAGAGTCGGCTACACGGGTTCTTTCTAATAAACCCACTGGCTTCAATTTGTTTTGGAGGAAACGGTAGAGGTTTAGACATATGTATCTGCACTAGTAGCTAATTCAGTTGTGATCTGACATGCAGATGACGGACATCGATGTTACGGGTACATGAGCACAAATCACCTGAAACAAGAACGAGACTCAGACGCGGAGCCAATAAATTTGACGTAAAAATGCTTGAGTAAATATGAAGGAGTGATGATGACAGACAGCTTTACAGTCACTCATAAACCTCGATGTTCAACGGTATTCAGAATCATAATTACACTGCTTTTTACTCCTTATTTCTCTGGCTGAAGCCATTCAATTTGTTTTTTAATCAAACTCAAATCCAACCCCCTGAACTGCGCCTTTTGCCCTTTCTGTTATTCTTAGAATGAGTGCAGAAGTGGGTCCCAGTCACTGATTATGTAATTGGCTCCTGCCATAGCAAAACCAAACTCTAATTTTGTGCGGATATTTTACCCTTTGTGATTTCACATAAATCTCACCTTCTGTGTCCAAGGTTCAAAGAAACTAAGAATAAGCTAATACTACAATAATTACCTAATGTATTTAGTTCTTTCGTAGTAGAAGCTTTGCTGCTATTCTTAGCATTTACTAAAAGTTGTGCAGTAAATAAATGTGCAGTTCAGTTTGTTAATATTTCTAGACTTTCCATGTACATATTGAAAAGAAAAAACAATAAGCACAATGTACATGTGTTCTGGTGCGCCAGCTTATCCCAGCATGTACTTGGGGGGATTCGTTGTTAGGTCATATTTAAGTATCAGGTGTGCGTCTTTAGATGCTGTATTTTAAGTGAAAATGCTAAATTCAAATAGCAATTCAAATACATTCAAATAACTGACACACCTTTCACTGTGAGGCAATAACAGTCCCAACTACTGAACCGCCATAGTGTTAAATTGTATTAAGCAAATAAAAAATTCAGTTATCTGCGCTCAGTTCACTTAAAGCGTAAAAATCACACAAAATAATTTAACCGAAGTAAATACACCGCCATTTCACAAACAAGCAATCAATATAGACTTTGAATAATGTGAAGGGTTAAATAGCCTGCAGTGGCTGATTAGAACACTACAAGACAATAGGCTTGGTGAAAGAGGAGGAATTTAAGGCTTACGCTGTGTTGCATTGTCCTCCACACAACCCTCTGGGAGCAGCAGAGAAATGAAGAAGAAGGAGATTTAATTGGACATCAGAGAAATCGGGAGACAGAGAAAGAGAATAGGAGGGAAATAATGTCTATTAGTGAAGCAGAAAGTTAAATGACAAACGGTGCTGCTGCAATATTCCATCCAGCAGCCTCATCGCACTGTGAGATTCAGCACCTCCAATCTTTTTAACCACTATTAATTTCCTAATGTGAAACAGTTTAAAAATCTGAGGCCATCAAATCTGCAAAGATCGAGACCACAATAAAAAACAGCAGCATTACAGGGTGAATTAATCTGATAATAATAGCTTCTTCAATTAATTACTTCTTTGAAATACATATTATAGTGTAATGTGACAGATATACTACAGGATTTTACCTGCTTCACAAAACTTCACATAAAAGTGCAGATACAGAGTAAGATGGTGAGGATTGATTAGGTGAGTCTCAAGCAAATAAACTCACCTTTCTTAGAATACTTTTTAATTAATCTTTTCCAAGAGGTTGGCTGAGAGCATGTAAAGATGTTTTTTTTAAGATAACCCAACATAGATCTTCTCCTAATATGTTTTTTCCTCTAAGTGTTCTTTTTCTATCGCACCTATTAGATTAAAAAAATAAGGGTTTTGTACGTCTGTTTTCTTCAAACAAAGCATGTATAAGACGCTGTGTTGAATATATTTTCTGTATCTGGAGATGTTTCACAAAATTATTGTAGCACACTTAACATGTGTATTGATTAGAGCTAGAATTCATTGACTGCTTACAAAGACCGACAGAGCACATTCTGCAGCTTTAAATCCTCCTCTGTACTTCTGCAAATCTTCCATTTTAATCCTGTCAAACAAATTGTACTGCAGATTATCAACTGCACATTTGATTTAAGAGAACAATAATGGCTTTTATAAATGGACTTGCCACTTGGACAGAGGATTACATGAAGAAGCATTTGTTAAATGGCCTGGTCAAAGGACATATTGGTGACACAATCAATATGGTGTAATTGTAACCAATCCATAGCCTCTGATACCACTAAAACGTTTTTCACACTAATGTCTTCTTAACACCAATAATATCCAGCATCAAGTGCTTGTTAAGAAAAAACATGATCATATTTTTCCAAGAAACCATGGTAGGTTATTGTTATAATGACATTAAAGAAGTGCTGTACACGGTTATACTGTTTGTTACTGTTTGTTACTCGTAATCGAGACATCTGGTTTATCTTTAGATTCTTAGATTTATATCACAATTCTAATGATCCTTCACTCCTGGATCCTCTGGCTGCTCTTCTAGCTGTTCCCATCATCCAGGTTTGTTTGCTGGACTTCCATTTTGTTGACCAATCTGCACAGACGAACGTGGATTTACAATGATTTCTTTTAGAATCTTTGAGGGCCTTTATTTTTTTCGTGGCCTTTGGACTTGAGCCCTCCATAGTTAAGTTAGGCTCCACCAAGTATATTTAAAAAAAATCCTCAATAAATTCCTATAAAATAAGTTTAGCTGCCTAAAGGAAGTTTCTTACGTAAGGAAGAGTGTTCGTCATGATCTTCTGGCTGCTGCTATAAAACCACCATGAACTGTCTGCTTCAAACTAACTTACTTACTAAGTGAAATTGGAGATTTATTTAAGGACAGTATTTTGTTATACAAATGACTTGACCTTAAATAACCTTCTACTTACAAGTTGTCTCTATCTAAGAATCGTTATCCACCTTTTTTTCATCCCCATTAACTGAGATAATTTGCCATCATTCTCCCGTTAAACATTTAACACTATAATTGCCGACGCATTTAAAGTTTGAATCAGGCTATTCCATTTTTCATATTTAATTGAACTCTTACTTCTTTTCTTTAGAGGGTTTCCAATTGCAGTTTACAGTGCCGGTTGTACTGTCTGTACATACCAATCTATCCAGGCTGGTTCCAGCCGTGGTTGTTGGCCTCTCCTCAGGGGTGTACGGTCTGAAGCGCGCACTGAACACATCCGAGATGCCGCGTGCAGACCTGCCTACTCCCGACGGCTTCGGCTGGCCGCACCCTTGAAAAACCTAGAATGAACAGAGGGTGAGAGAGGGGCAGGCAAAAAACATAGTATATATGATAATAGTATTTGTTGCTGTGGCCAATGACATCTTCTCATGTTCAACAAACACATGCCATTCTAATCTGCAGCCGAGAACATTTGGGGTTGGGAAAATATAGATGTTATTATTGTTAGGTTGCTGAGTGATAGTCAGAAACTATGTGGTACTTAGACAGTCATTTTATACATCAGACGTCACTGTACACTCTGACAAAAATTCCAGATTTAATAAACTGAAAGTTATTCAACATTGCCAAAATGAAAAGTTATGTTGTGAATCGTGAGCCAAAAATGAAAAATGATGATTAGCTCAACCTTACACGTAGCAATGTGTTTTTCATGATGGCTCATAGTGAGAATAGATTGTTTTCAGACGGCTTTGTCTCTACAGGCTCTCCGAGCCGTAACAGCAGACCGCCAAAGCCCACAGCTCATTAGCATTCCTCTGTGGCCTGTCTGCCGGCCCCTGGCTCTGTGTGTGATAGAGCACTCTAATGTGCTGCAAGGCTGCCAGGACAAGAGGCTGTCTTTTGTATACCATTCATCAATTCTTCACCATGATTACAATTCCGCTATCCTGTGCAGGAACATCACATGGGCAAACTGATATTCAACAGGTCTGAGCAGCGGGAACGAAGGTGCGCTTGTTCAAAAGGTGACCGCGGGGAAAAGGTTGTAAGCCCTCGATGCAATCTGCCGGCCCATCACAACCTTGCAGTGATGGAGGGGTCAAGTGAAAAGACGATGTGGAAGAGTCTTAAATTGAAGCCTTCTTGATATGGAGAATAATGTGACATCTAATTCACACTGACCTTTGTATTTCTGCCATGAAGATAGGCCAGACACCAAAGGGTCGGATTGATGTTTTGAACTGAAATATCAGCCTTTTGAGAAGAAATACAATGACAAACTCCTCTGTGTGTGATAACATCCTTAATGGGCTGCTAGGAAATGAGTTGCTTTTCTTGCATTTTAATCCTAATTACTGATTTTAAAAGACTACTAAATGGCTAAACGAGTCCCTGGCACTCATCCCAGGTGTGGATAGATAAGGACTCCTAAACACGTCCTGTCTCAGTCTTTGACACATCGTTTCCATAAGTGGATATTGTAAAGAAACATTTTGACATTTACGTGACAAGATTTTCCTTTAATATATAAAACAATAGCTTTTTTGTGTCATATGTGGTAGAACTAGGTTTTAAAATCTTTGCTTTTGTAGATTAGTAGCACATAGATGTGGATTTTTAGGAGACAGGGTTGTGCTTTGCGGCATTGTGATCTATACCCAAGGCTTCCAACCTTGTATTGTTTATGTATCAACATGCATATTTGTCATCAACATCACAATATATACTGTACAAGTAAGAGGTTTGGACACACTGAATCCCATTGAATTGAATGAGACATTGTCTCCAAACATTTGACTGGTACTGTACTTTATATGTTTATTCATAAAACCCCTTTTTTATTTACACATTTTGTTAAGCGTCATTGTAATTATCCTGTCTATTGGTTTGTGTGTTTGTCCATCTTTGCTTTGCACTAATGAATGCAATTCAATGAATAAACCCCCATTAAAGAACACTTTTTATGTGAAGGTATCTTACTTTTACGAACAGATCACATCATAGCACAGTGAACAAATATAATTGAGAAGACAGCACCTTGGCCGACACCTGCATGCTGTTGTCCTGCATGGTCATGATGGCATCAGAAATCTTGATGTCAACTGGCTCTACAACTGCTTCAATGTTGAAGGGTCCCTCCAGTCTCTCTGCCACCAGTAACATGGCATCTGTCAAAACACGGGGAGGACACATGTCAGCTCAGAGATACACTCACATACAGACGTTTCACTACTTTTACAACTGTTTACGTGCGTTGATATGTGATCGTTACCAGTACTCAGAGAAAAAGACCCAGGGTGCTTTGCTCTGTCGTGGGCCTATGACAATAAGAATAAAGAAGTGTGCCTTCTACCAATGTGTCGACTGCCAATTGAAAATTTACCTGCCATTACCTTTATCTAAAGAAAAAAAACCCTCGAGGGACAAAAAGATTTTTGGGGACACTGGTGTTTGCAAGAGGATGCACGACATTGGGGACAAATTAAATTTGAATGTGATAAGCTTATAATAGCTTCCACTTAAAAACAAATAATTTACTTGCATACGTGCTCGTCCCTCCAGCTCTGATTAATTCACATTTTTGCATTAGTATTTCTCAATGGTGAAGTTATATGACTTTTAATTACATCCAAGACACTGAGTTAGTTCCTTCTTTCCCACATGAAATTCATAAGCGACATGCAACACCTCTGACGGGATGTGATGAAATCAAGTTCATGCTGTGTAGCTTTGTTGTTTCCTTGTTTAGTCGTCTGAATCTCACATCTTAGCAGATCATGTATTTTGAAAACATAAAACCATTTTCTTTTCTTAACAATCAGGTAGCAACCGCCAAAAACAAACTAAAGAACAAACAAAGGGGCCATGACCTTGCTACATAAAACTGATTAACCACCAACCTGCAAGTTTTAATTTCCATTAAAACAAGTTTCTATTAACATCTTCAAACAGAGGAATAGTTCTATCAATCATCTCAAACTGGGAAATGTCACCAGTGAAAATAATGAGTCTTATATTTTCATTAAACTCTATCTTGTCTCTCAAAAAAGTAATTAAAAGTCCATCAAATCTTGTTTGAGGGGTTAGCGCTGGTTAAGTGGTAATGCCAGAGAACATATCAGTAGGACTTCCATCTCTGTGCACCGACATCTGAGGACGTGTGCAGACCAGGAGACGCTTATTTACGGGAGCTGTTCTGTGCAGCAGAAGAGTCTTTAGCACCGATAGTCAAAATTGTCACAAAGTGATCACTAGAATGTGGAGGCACAGTGATCATTCTGCAGCCTCAGTGGCCGAAGCCTGATGACTGACTAACAGAAAAAAAAAAACCTTTTCTGTCTCTGTTGGTTCAAGCCGGGGCTCAAATCATTGGCAAATTTGAGAATTTACCAATTATTTAGTTGTTACAATTCATCATCAGACAAAGCAGAGGAAAAGCAGCTTTTAGATTTGTTTTTCCTTATTGGATGAATTGTTCTTATAAACTTGCTAAGATCTACTTTTTAAATCCATAACATATGTATTATTTTCACAAGGTGAGCCTCTTACATCAACACTGATGGCAAAAAAATAGTTTAATATGATTTATCAAAGCTTAATTGAAATACAAGTTCAAATAGGGGTTTGAATGTATTCTACTTCTTAGTTTTTGTCAACAAGTTCAATGTAGAGGTCAAAACCAACAGTAGGTCTCTAAAGAGATGTTTTTTGTCCCAAGCGAAAGATCCTATGAGAATCTTTCAAATGACAAGTGACTGTTGGTCGGAGACGGAACATAAAGACCCATTTTAAGCATCAAAGCTGTAAACTAAACTTCAGTCTGTTTACCATTGTGTATTGTAGCCTGTGTAATGTGTAATCTTCAATGTAAATTTGCTTTTTCAGTAAGAAAAGCATAGCGTAGCCTTGTAAGATGGACAAACGAGATATTCGGAGTAAGTCAGGTATTTTTTTTCACAATTACAGCGTAACAGACCAGCATTGAAGAAAGCCGACACCGTTCTAGAATGTCCTGAACATCCCTCGCAGAATGCGTTTGGGCTGCGGGCCTCAGGCGAGCATTTGAGAGTGGCTGCCATGAGACCTGAGGAACATAAAGTCTGCCTCCTCTCAGTGGCTATTGACAGGGCAGGATATTAAGCTCAGCCGCTTGACTGAGCGAAGTGATTTAGAGGACAGGTTGAGTACAGAGGAGAGAGCACCAGCCCTTTAAAGGGAGGTAAATTAAAAGCATGAAGATTAATGCTTAACCTAGTATCGCCAATTAACATTGAATTAGGTTGTAATAATATCCAGGGGCCCTGTTTTCACCCTAGAAGAACCATTCATTGCAACCGCACGTCATCACAAAAGGTAGGTACAGTATTTCTAAACACATGATGAACACATACTTTGGTAAACTGCTTCTGACTTTTGTTTGAATACTCTTGGAGAGCTGACACCTAACTCAACAAACTAACAAAAAAATGTTATACATCATGACAAATCTGAGGGCAGAACCAATTATTTTCTATACCCACTGTGGATTCCTTAATATATTAAATAGTGTAGTCTCTGCCTTTTGATTTTGATGCAGCCTTATTAAAAACATATATGACGCATCTGAGCATTGGGATTGAAAAATACATCTGCCGTATTACGCTGCTTGAATTAAGGGATGAAATATCATTCCTAATTGCTACATCCGCAAAATCTATTTAGTTTTGAACTTTGCTAAGACAAATAAAAGGAGCGCACCACCTATGAGGCCAAATGTATCTCTCTGTATGATATCATACAAGTTAAGAAAAGTTGACATATTAAACAGGAAATCCCTGCACTCACAAAGCACGCATTCCTGACCCCAGCCCCAAATTAACCCAATAATCCAACTTCTTGATCACAAATGTTTTTTTAAATTTAAGGCGTTTGTAATCCATCCCTCTGCAGCCTTTTAGAGCGTACATATTGAATGGAGCTACAGACCCCACTCCTCTCTCTGTTAGTAGCTTGTACCTTTGAAGAGCACTCCTGTTTGTTTACTCTGGAGTCTCAAATTGGGTATGATGCTCGGTTAGATTTCCATCAGGAGCTGTCTGGAGGTCACTGCGTGAGGCCAACTCGAGTCCTCTGAAGCCCTCAGCTGCCCGTGTTTGGCCGAGCGCCGCTCTGATGCTACTGCGGAAAAAACCTTGGTGGAATATAGCGGGAGTGGAGGAGAAATTGGCAGCTGAACTCTTACTGATTGAAAGGCTAAAATACCTGTTTCCTCCGCTGAGTTCTGAAAATGTTTCATATAGCTAAATTTATTTTTGATGGATTATGAATGAGCGAGCCATATGAATTGCTAAAGGAATTGTTACTTCTACCTGCTTAAATACCTTCTTAAATCATGTCATACAATGATCAATATCCTAAAGAATAATATGTTCCATCAGCAGGACAAAAATGAAATAAATAATGGGCAAGAAGGTGAATGATCATCGTATGACATGTACTGTACATGTACTTCTGATAACTTTGTTTGTATTCAGTTTGACGGAGAATAATTATGGGATTGAGATTTTGTTTTGGGTGCGTCATTCTAGGCTAAGTGGTGTCAGCGGTCTTATAACCTGTTTTCTTTACAAATGGTTTGATTAATTACTTTCTGTTTTCCCCTTTATCAGAAATGATACTCGACTGATTTTAATGTAATGATTAAATAAGTCTTTTGCATTCGATATTAACTAACACAAATTGGATTTGCCCACCATTTGTCCCTCTATCGATGGATGTGATGGACCCACATGGTGACTGTGGGTTGTGTGGGTTGGCACGGTTGTTTACTGCTGGCTACATGGCGGGTTTCTTTTTGGCTCCAGGCTGCATGCTCGGTTATTTTCTAATGGAAACCTCCTTTTTTTTCTCTCACCCAGAGGGATTTGGAGAGACTCTAGTACACTACCCGCAGAGTCTCTAAGTGGATATAGGAGTCATTCGTGGGTGAATCAATGACGAACAACAACTTTTATGTGAAGATGTGGGGGAATTAATGAAGGTTACCTGATTGTCAAGGGCAATTTCTTTTTAATTCCATGATGTTTGGGATATTTTATTTTCTTCTGCAGGTACGTGTGTTTCTTCCATCTGATGGATCAAATTGACTTATTTTACTTTTGCTCAGTCAATATAATTTGATGCGGTGAGCAGGTGTGTTCAATAAAATTCCTGTTACAATGGATCCACCCTGAGCAAAAATACGTTAAAATATAATGTGTTCTCTGGTCTGTACATATTGACAAAGAGGACGTCTCTTTCTCTCTTTCACTTCATTCATCATTTTACTAATGTATTCTGATCCAGGCCCATTTCTGAGATATCATTTTTGTACGCTTTTGAAGGATGGAGAAGGAAACATTTCAGTAGGAATCAATGCGTATTTCTCTTCTGTTTCAGTGGCTGCACTGGGATAAGATTTCTGTGATGAAAATCTCTTGGACCATTCAAACCACATATGCCAGACTTTCCCATGTGAAATGAAACACATGAGAATACTTTATTTTACTGCGCTCTGCATGACTGCTCTGGAGTCCGTGGGAGGAGCAGAGTGTCAGCTGCACACCCAGACTCCGGAAAACAATCTCCGTCAGAATTAACCTCTGTTCACATTCATGCTAAGTGACCTCGTCTTTCAGATTTAATAGCATATTACCATCCAAAATATGTAAACCGGTAGCTCCAGTCACTTATGAGCCGTCATCCTCTTCAATTACAAAGAGTCTAAAGACTTGGGAAGGTGTGAAAAACATTAACTAGTGTTGATTAATGTGAATCAAAGCAGTGTCTTTTTTTGTAATTTTTGTTTTTAATACATTTTGAAGTTGCTTAGATGTATATTTCCAATAAGCATAAGCAGCAGTTTTTCTATTGCAGCAATTACAGTTTCTGCGTTGATGTAGAATAATGGTGGGATAACTCTTAAATGATAAACAACAAATACAAGTTGACCCACAGGTTTTCCGTAGGCAACACATACCACGGTTCTGTGTGACCTAATGAACGTACAGTCGTTGATTTATAATACAAAAACAAGTCTGCAACTACACCTTTTATATGGAGAGTAGCTCCATGTCAGGACTTCATCATCACTCAGCATGCGCACACACACTGTTTCTTGTTTACATGCTTTGCTCGTTCGACAAGGTGA